ATCGAAATGTAATCACGAACTGTCAAACCAATAATATGTATTATTGTCAATTTCAGCAAATGTCACTTAGTGATTTTTGCCTGGTAGAGCAAAGAGTTGTTTGTGACTTACAGACTTTTGCACGCATATGCAACCAGTTATACATCACGCACGGACTTCATGACTTTTGCCAGATAATAGAAGCTGCTTTTTAAAAGTTGTTGGTGTCTTTACCTAAAAATTGTATAAAATGGACTTAATGACTTTTGCCAGAACGTCGACGATATACACTATAAAAGTGAATAAGTAACTATAATTATAGAAAATGTTTATAGATCTTGGATATTTAACTATATTATCATAGGAACACTTTTGACCTAGAGCTTCTAATAGAAAGTTTGAGATGACGCTTTTTCTTGATAATATTTACAATTTATTAAAAAGTGTTCGAATGTTACACTGATCACATTTGGGTCAGTTATTTATTTACTCCAGTTACTGAGGCTTAAAATATGGTAATACCTCCGAATTTTTTATAACTGCATCGATTTCTTTAAAAATTTCAAATTAAGCTTATATTACCCCCCACTTCAAAAGTTACATACACTCTAAGTGCGTTTTTTGTTTTTAAAGGGTGAAAACTACCCCTTATTGGAGAAACTGGGAAAAACACGGATTTAATTATTTTATGCACTTAAATCTTGTTTATTCTCATAAGGTTAATATTGTAATCTGTTCTCTAATATGAAAATTATTTATTCACAATTTTCAACCCTTAAAACCCTTTAAAAATCCTTAAAAGCTAATACTTTTTATAAAAATATTATGAAAAAAACGTTGTAGCAGCCTGAGACATTTTAATTATGTATTTAAATACAAATAAAAATTAACACCCTAGCTATACAATACTATTTTATTTATTGGAAATATTTTCAACCCTTACAACCACCCTTATGACAAAAATGAATTAAAACATGAATGAAAAAATATTTTTATCGGTTTGAAACATTTCTTGAGTGCATTGTATTTAACGAAAATAAATTTTTCGTATATAAAATAACTTTTTATTTTAATTTCAACATTTAAACCCTCACAACCAACCCCTTTTTTAAAAAATTAATTTTATGTATTTTTAATGGACTGAAACATTTCTTGAGTGTATTTTATTAAACAAAAATTAATTTCTTGCTTATATAATAACATTTTATTATAATTTCAACATTTCAACCCTAGTTCCTCTTGTCAAAAATGAATTTAAAAATATTTTTAACGATTTGAAACATTTTTAGACTGCATTGTTTGTAGACAAAAATTAATTTTTTACTTATAAAATGAGCCTACTTTTTTCGACCCTTACAAGCATTCCTTTTGATGAAAATAAAATCCTTAAATCCTTAACTTAGACATGGACATAAATAAAAAAAATTTAGTTTATAACATAATACAATTTTTTTATTTTCTGATGCCTTCCTCAGGGCTTTCGAGGTCTCAGTTTCCCGAGCCCCCAGACACTACTACACTGTTGACTGATCACTGCGCTGTCACTACTGTACAGTAGTGTCTTCACTGATCACTGCGCTGTCACTACTGTACAGTGATCAGTGAACAGTGTAGTAGTGTCTGGGAACAAAAAACACTGAAATAAAGTGAATTCTATAAGGAAAACAATTTATTTCAATCCTAGTGAACATGACGTTAGTTTTATTGCGTTTTTTTTACAAACATTTGAGAAATCCATCGTTTTTGATTGTATCTCACGTACAGTTATTTACTATTTATAACTGGGAATAAGCCACAATTAAAGATAAAAATACGTTTATTGACGTTTCAATTTCCAATTCGGAAATCGTTCTCAAAATACAAAACAAAGTTTTGTATTTTGAGAACGATTTCCGAATTGGAAATTGAAACGTCAATAAACGTATTTTTATCTTTAATTGTGGCTTATTCCCAGTTATAAATAGTAAATAATTTACAATGCCACAAGAAAATAGCTTCAGAACAATATCACGTACAGTTGGTGCAAAGGACTTTTGGCATCACTCATTTTAAAAATATTATATGAATTTTCGTCGAAAAATGTTCCCGTTTTCCGTTATTTAACGTTAAACTCGTATTGAAAGACAAAAACAAAATCAAACCTTTAACAAAGCCATAACTTAGTTAATATTGAACTGAAAATATTCATTAAAAATCTTTTTGTTTTTTTTATGAGTTTTAATTTTAGTGGCTACGCTTTTTTTTGATAAAACTCTTAGTTTCAGAGCTATTCTTAAAAAACCTTTGAAAAACATTTTTTTTTAACGAAAAATGACACTTTTCAATAGCGAATAACTCAAAAAGTATTGATCTAGCGAAAAAATGTTTACATTTTTTGTTTGAAATTTGTCCTTTTATCGAATAGCGTGGTTATTTTTAGTGAAGAGGTTGTGGGAAGCAGCTTGAAGAGAATACAACTCCTATTGATTTTTTTATTAAAAATTAAAAATCTGTAACGTGGGACCACTTTTCGAAAGTATCTGAAAAGCTTTGAAGAATTGAGGACATTATAGAGATATGTTTGCCTCTTGTAGATACCACTAGATCATTAGCGTGTAAACGGGCTTGTAAAGGTGTTTGAATGTCTTTGAGTATATCATTATTGCTACTGTAATAATGTTTGACTGAATGTGGATCCTTAAGGTGTACCATTTTCCAAACTATAAATATTATGCAACACAAGTTGTCCTGTAAAGCAATTGAAATTCTAGAAAAGAAATTTTGTCAAGAATTGAATAGGTTAGATTATATAGTATAAAGAACTTATTTGTCCTACTTGATTTAAATCCTAAGTTCACAATCCTTATGCTACGTCGCTGTTTGTTTCCAATCGTTTTGTTCCTTTATGGGAAAACAATATTTACAAACCATATTTGGTAATAATTAAAGAAAATATCAACAAATTGTCAAAATATGTAAGTGTATGTGTCCATTATTTTCTTCAATGCAGTTATCAATACGTTCCATAGAAAAACGTCTCATATTAATGAACATCATTGGTTCAAAAGAAACTACTGCAGTAATTGTTTCTTCCCTAAGTTGGTTGCAAATGTTTATGGGGTTCTTATACGTTATTTCATTGTGTTTTATACAAGAAAAATCGAGATGAATAAATTCTGGGATACATGGTGGCCAAGAACAATGACAACCAAGACCAATCCAACGTTCAGGAAAATTGGTATTTAAATATGTTCTCACTGCCTTTGTATAATGCGGTGGTGCACCATCCGGAATAAACTACATATTTTGATAGAGATTTTGATCTCTTTGATACACTAAAGAGATTTATTTTCACATTCAGAGCGACAATGAATTACCGTTCTGACGAGGCCTATTAGGCCGAAATACGTATAAGCGGCTACATTGATGCACTATACGTTAAATTAAATCTTAACTGTCTTTTCCTTTACATATTTTGCCTTAAGTTATATGGCAATTCTTCCAATAAATCAATAAAATCATTTTGTAAAAAATGTAAATAGTTATCATCTCAAATTAGGAGATAACTCGCATGCCCTTAAAAAACGATTACCAATGGTTCCACACTGTACGTTTATTTTAAATTCATGCTGGAAATGCATTTCTCTCTTAACATGAGGATATTCTGTATCCCAAAAACAATTGTTCCTTAAATTAAAAACACCATTGCGTGTTAATGTAGGTTCGTCCGTAAATAATATTCTATTTATGGCAGAGTGGTCAAGATGTTGCCTGTTTCGGATATCACTTGCAAATCTGCATCTTAAAATAAATCTGCCGGTAATATATTTTACACAGATGTAAAATATTCACGGTGAAAATCTCACCAGCTATCTCAGGAAACATGCCCAATTCGTCTATTATTTGCTGTAGCTTAACTTTACTTAAACCTCTATCATTTATATTGTTTCACAATTCACGCCTATTTGTGTAACGACTGACTTATCGTGATTGATACACAAGAACTTAATGTCCGAATAAGTAATACTAAATTTTGTACATTGTGGCGGCATCTATAATTGGGTAACTAAACTAGGTGGCTATCTTTTAGTTCCAGCCTAAAGCATTTGAGCTACACATATATTTAAATGGAAAGCATAACCGTCTAATGTATAACACATAATTATACACATATGTTAGGACTCCGCCAAAACGTGTGACCTTATATGAACACATAGTCTATTCATAAAAGTCAAGTGTGTACCATTTTTGGTACACGTAGTAGTAAAAGTGTTAATATCAACATTTTATTAAAGCAAGTTGACTTAAATCGTAATATTTTAAAGTGTAGAAGCTACTATTTCCTTTTGTACAAGGACCACCTTGTACAAAACTTTATTTTTTATTTTTTAAGAACCACACTGTATATATCAAAATAAAAAAAGTAACTTAATGAAACTGTAAATAACTTATAACTAACTTGACAATCCGATTGAGTTTATCAAAGGGCATTACATTTATGCTATAAAACAGAAAAACGAAACAATTATTTAGTATAATTTTCGTACGGATGTAAAATCTAAATAGAGAATAGCAGAATTTAGTTCAAAAATTCTGAAACTAAAAAGTACAAACAGGAATTTTTTACCATTAATTTTGTATAAGAATTAATATCTATCTACACAGTTTATAAAGACTGTAAAGTGTTTCAAAGATATTTGCAGAATCTACAGAAAGAATGGAAGTGAAAAATAGTCAAACTATTCTGCAAATATTTTAGTTAAAGGACTTCAATTTGTTTTAGATCTAAATTTATGTTCTGATTTGTCTTACATAAAATAAAAAATTAGTGTAATATTGTTCTGAAGTTACTTTCTTGTAACATTTAATGCAATTTACTATTTTTATTGGGAATATGTCAGAAGTTTACAATTTTACTTTATAATAAGGGTATTTAACTTCTGTAAATAATATAAGCTAAGTATATCAATCTAGATTCCTGTGCCTAGCTGATGAATATTACAATTTTATTGATGTCTCTAAATACCATTCATTCTCTTTAGGAACACAGTGGAATACTTCCTACAGAATTATATAAGTGGTTGCCAGCTAACTTTAGCATTAACACAGAAATTGAAAGCGAAGAGGTTTGGGGATCGGTGCATGAAGTTTTTCACGACACCACCGACATCAAAGCCAAAACTGCGATTTGTGGAGAAATTTATAGAAATTATCTGCAGGTTAGTAGTTAAATATTAATGAGATAATAATACGATGACGATATATTCGAGCCCCTTCCCATATCAGTTAGCCTAACGTTAGATTGATAAGAATATTAAATTTTAGAGAACAAAAATTCGCGCAAATTGAGCGCATTTTTGTCTCTTTTCTGTCCAATGTCCATCTGTAAGATACCGTCGGTCATCCATGGTTTTTTCTTTACTGTCTTTTTCGGTCTCAGGTATTGGTCTAATATTTCCTTCCCAATGTTTTCTAAGTGTTAACAAAATTCTTATCTAAACAAATTCCATATTTCTTGCACTCTTTCCTTTAATTAGTTCACGGACCTGGCAGGATGTTTTCTCAAAAGTATTTTTTTTCATTTCGCGTCACAAAATTTCTATAGCGGACAAGTCGGAGCTGTGAGAAACCCATTCCAAAAGTGGTATGCTATGGTCTTCATCCCATTTTAAACTCTTTTTTAAAATATGACAATCTGCGCCATCCAGTTGAAAGACAGAACCTTCTGCTGATGTTAAACGGTGTTTAATAATCGGTAAAAGAGATTCTTCTAACATAATAAAATATTTGTCCGTGTTTAAAATCCCGTCGATAAAATGTAACTTTCTCACATCTTTAGACGACATACTGCCCCAGAGTATGACAGATGTAGGAAATTTGACTTTTCTTTTTAGACAAGGATGGAAAGCTTCATTGTTCCTGCGAATGACGCGACTTCTACTGTCTCCAACACACACTTCAAATCTGGACATATCTCTCCATTGTATTGAATTCCATTGCGACTAAGTCCAATATTTATGCTCTTTTGACCATCTTAGTCTATTTTTCTTTTGTTGTAATGTTAAAAGTGGCTTTCCTTAGCTTAAAATAAAACAAAGTTTATTAAAAACAATGCGTACTAATTTTTTCAACTATAAAACTTACTTTGTAAGTACCAAATTAAAATTTGTGGGTCTTTCGGTGACGTTGATCTAGAAACGTATCTTTCAATAACGTCACTTCATAAAGCGCTTAACTCTATATAATTTGATTGTCAATTTTTCACTATAATGCGTCTTAATTCCCTTCAATCTAGGTTTTGTGACGACCCAACATGTAGTTTTATATCTTCTGACTCTATTTCTTACACTATAGCTTGACAATTTCAACATATTCGCTATTTCCGAATTGGATTTTCCAGAATTAAAAAAATCTGATAATGATTGAACAAATGTTCTCATCGATAACTTTACCTCAACTTATTGCAAAATCCACACACGGCAAAAAAAAAGATTTCCAATACTAGAAAATACATTTGACATTTACTGAAAATATTATTGTTTTGATATCATTTTTACATAGCTACCTCTGGATTTAACGTATGAAACATTATGAAAAAATTAACGTTTGTTGACATAAATGAATGCATAGCCAGGTGTTGGAGAACTATATCTCCAAGCCAATAATTCTATTTTGTATCAAATAATTCTATTTTCGCGTCGGTTACCTAAATAAATCGAGTCTACCTAGACCTTGTTTCTGAGAATGTTAATCCCCGCCCACAGCGCCTACTTGATGACAGACCGGCTTTTCAAAATGCATAAACAAAAAAATATTCCAGCGGGGCTAGTGATTTAGCGACTTTCGTAGGGCTAACATCTATATTTCAAAAGTTCGGAGAGGATTCTCCACGTTGCAGTTTACGCATTTGACCGGGAAGCCGTAATATGTGAATAAGTGTTATGGTGTTTTCGCTTTCGTTCGCAAATTGTAATATTCAAATTGTTCCTACGATAAGTTACACACTCAAATTTTATAAGCTCTATTTCTTGCCCTTTCTTTTTTCAATTACAGTTTCTTTCTAAACAAGTAATTGTTTTATTTCACTATATCAATTCAACAGGCCAGATAAAAGCAACTTTGAAAGTCCATTTTAGTTTCTCTACTGAGCTGTCGAAGGCTAGCGGACTAATTGGGCTTACAGCAAGAACAAAGCCGCTGAAAGAGACACTGTTGCATATAAGCCTCTCCATGGAAGGGATGTTGTAAACCGGCACCCTCCACCAGGGTTTAGTAATTTTTTTTTATTGTTAAAAATAAATAAAAAACTATAAAGGTAGTGTTTTTTATATAAATATTAATAAAAATGCCGTGCTAATTAATCTGGGAACTTATAACAATATGCAGAGTATAATTTGTTTATGGTAATCGACTTAAACCGCAAATTTCATAGGTGGGCTATATGACATGCGAAGGGGTTTGTAGCGTTTTTCTTTTTATTAAATGAAATAATTTTTATTTACCTTACAGATACATTCATTATCCTTTAATTTACATTAATTATAATCCTCTATTTACTTTTAAGTTTCAGTTTCGAATTGTTTAAATTTTAGTATTTCCCACTACCACTACATCATCAGCGTACATTAAGCACCAGGGAATATTTCTCTGTAGTTTCGCTGTTAGTTAATACAACAATAACGAGAATAAACAAGGACTAAATATTAGTTGTTAGTCCCTTGTACATGTCTTTTACAATCTTCACATATTTCTAGAAACTTTTTTCTTAATGAGCGCCTCCTATCGAGACTGTCAAGGGACTTTATAATATGCTTTCTCAAATATAATGAACACTATGTGGGCGTCTTTTTCTTAATTTTTCTATTTTTCCATTATCTGCCTTATAATAAAAATTGCTTCTTGTTTGCCCCACATACAACGAAACTGATCGGATATTTCAGTTTTTTCACTTATCCATTTATCTGCAACTATCACCCATATTAATTGTCATGCTGTGACAAGTAATTATTTTATGGCCTATAGTATGTGCATTGCTGTATGTCTCTCTTGTTTTTGTAAGTAAGTACTACTATACCGCTTGTTTATTCGTCTGGCATTTGTTCCACTTCCATAATTATATTAAATAAACTTATTAGTCAAATTATTCCTCTATTTCCTAAAGCTGTTCAGACTTCTTCAGGAATATCATCTGGTCCAACTGCTTTACTTTTCTTTGTTTTGTTAAATGCTTGAACAACTTCCGCGTTTGTTATTTTGGCGACCCCTGCTGTTACTGTCTTAGTTAGCTTAACTTGTTATTTGTCAATTTCTTTATTTAATAACATCAGATTCATTTTGTAACTTAGTATTTTATTATTTTTATTTCGAATAAATCTATTCCGATTAAACTCTTTTGCTATCTTTGCTCTATGTTCGGCTATTATTCCTGGTATTAAGTTTATAGGATAGACCTGTATAAGTTTCTGCTTTAGTTTTCACTACTGCTACTTTCGCTTCCTTTTGGCGACGTAAAGTTTTTTTAAGATCTTTGTCTGACCTTTTTTTTGTCAATTTTTTATACAGGGTAATTCTTTGGGAGTTTTAATTAGACGTTTTAAAAAAAACTTGACATAATAAATATCGAAAAAGGTTTTTAGATATGCCCAATCAAGATAAAATATTGAAAGCCTCCTATCATTTCTGGTTATACCTGAAGTTGACTTTTTCTTAGCCTTCTTACGTCCATTTTTGGGATCGTCCCTCAACCTCAATCCCAAGCAACATTCAACCAATTTGTCCAGACTATTATATTTTTGTCACCTACTTATCTTGCGGTCTTCCTCTTGGTCGTCTACCTTAGTAAGGTCTCCAATGTTGTATTGTGGCGTTATAACTTTGGACTTTTTGTCTAGCAGTCTGACCTGCGAAGCTTCATTTGTGCTTGACATTTTTTGTTGGGCTATTCACGACTTCTGTTTTTTTATTTTTCCCAGTCATTCTACTTTTTATTTGACAGTCATATAACTAACAATGCCCTTTCTGTTGTGGCTAGTTTATTCTTATTTGTTGTCTACAAATCCAAGCTCTGCGCATTACAATCTAATATTGTGTTTTAATATCAAATAAAACAATATTTTATTTAAAACATATTTAAATTTTGGAATAAATCATTCACTTTTTACAATCTTGAAGAATATTCTGTAAACCCATAAAATTGGCCAAAAAATATAATTAAAAAAAAATGCAAGATTTAAGGAGATCAATGAGTTCAAATAAATTTGAAATAAAATTAATTCTATTATATAACTTTAAGATGCCAGTGACAATGTCGAGGTAATTAAATTGTTGACATTTTCAGGTACAATGTAAACCCTCGCCAGATGCTTTTAATCCATGTGAAGATCTTATGGGCAATTGGGCTTTACGAGTTCCCGTATGGTTCATTTCACTTTCAGCTGTAATTGGTAATTTATTCGTCATTCTTGTTATAGCCACCTCACGCTTTAGACTAACTGTCTCAAAATTCTTAATGTGTAATTTAGCATTTGCGGATCTATGCATTGGCATTCATCTTCTACTAATTGCAGTTGTTGACGCTTATTCTATAGGCGCCTACTTTAATTCTGCAATTGATTGGCAAGAAGGTAAGGTTCACAAGAAAATTAATACCATAAATAACGGGATTTTCGTTATTAATATATATTATGTACACTACACTTTTATCACTTTTATATTTGATTTGTTTATATATATATATATATATATATATATATATATATATATATATATATATTTATATTATATATATATATATATATATATATATATATATATATATATATGTTACTTACAATAACTGGAACACGTAATGGGGGGAGTTCAAAGCAATAAAATCAGTTAAAAAAATCTCTATTCCCTAGTCTTAAAACATTCTCAATGTGTGTTCTAGAAACAGATAACCTCTTTGAATTCAAAGTAACTTACAGTTTACAGGTAACTTTAAATTGGTTTTTAGTAAATTAATGACATTTGGCAAGGAATATAAAGTTACCCTTTAATTTTAGGTAATGGCTGCAAAGTCGCTGGATTTCTAACTGTTTTTGGAAATATTCTTTCGGTCTACACCCTTACAGTCATAACCACTGAACGATGGTATACCATAACTTGGGCAATTCACTTAAACAAACGGCTTAAGTTAAGAAATGCGGTCAAAGTTATGTTAGCTGGCTGGATATGTGCGATATTTATGGCCACTTTGCCACTGATTGGCATTAGCAGTTACTCCAAGACAAGTATATGTTTACCATTAGAATCTAAGGGAAAAGCTGATACCATTTACTTGTCGACATTACTAGCCTTTAATGCGTTGGCATTTGGATTAATTTGTGTCTGCTATGGAAGCATGTATAAATCTATAAGAGAAGGTAAGCTTTTATTTACTTATTTACACTATTTGGTTCCTTACTTAAAAACACATACTGTATTTCTTATTTCTGTTCTTATTGCGATAAAAAGTATTCGTTCTTTATACTTTAGTGTAATAGATGTCTGTGATTGTGTTACATTTTAGCAGTTACCATCCACAACTATAGTTTAGTACAAAACTTGAACAGAAAAATAAAATAAATTTTCTGAATGTCACTTTACATTGCATTAATCAAACACTGTTAACGTCAAAATTATCACAGTTAAAACTATGTGATTCACAAAATAAACGTGCCTTTTACGAAATTTTAGCTATAAATCTCATCATCCATTTGCTCATAAGAAGTGTGCAGTTGTAGATCTAGCTGATAAATGTATAAAACTAACAGATTCAGAATACAGACCAACTGCAATAAAAAAAGCAAAGAAAGTCCTCCTAAGTAATGCATATCTCAAACATCTAATCGAAGCTGTTTTTAAATTAAGACTAGACAAATTTTACAACAATACCAATAACAATAAAATCAACAGTACTAAGGCTACGTATATAACTATTCCATATACAGAGTGGCCCAAAAGTCTGGAAACGGCCAATTATCTCGTAAAATGCTAATCATAATTGTACAAAATTTAAGGTACACCTATTTTGGGATACGGACATTCCATATTTGATATTTACAATGTTGCCAGATTTGCCGTTTTTCTTATATTATTAGTAACTTTGGTTTTTCAAATACATCACCCTGTATATTCAGTCATTATTGGAATCTCCTATTCAATACGAGTTCAACCATATGTAACACTTATGATTTTATGTAATCTGGAAGGTCATAAATAGAAGAAGTCTGGCAACGCCTAAATTGTTTCAATAAATTTTTTAATACTAACTATTTTCAAATACATTAAAACGTAACAATTGATAGTTTAGAACATTTTTTAACATAGTAGTTACGTTATTAAGTGTTTAAAATATGCTTAATTTGTGAGTTGACAGCACCCTAATCGATGGTAGAAGGCGTCTACCATATTTCTCCATGATTGTCTAGAAATTATTCGAGATTCATTGATAATTCGTTGCCTTAGCTCTGCAAGACTTGCTGGTTAAGTTTTGTAAACTGAATTTTTCAAGTATCCCTAATAAACATAATCTTTAGGATTGAAATCCGGTGAACGTGGAGGCCATTCAATTCTACCTTGTCTACCAATTTATCGTCCAGGAAATATCTCATCTAAATATCGCCGAACATTTACACCAACTATCTGATGTTAAATTTCTTTCGACAAAAAATGACACAATTGAATAAGTAACTACCATATCTGACCATACATTTAATTTTTGTGGTCTTTGAGTATGGTTTTCACGCATTCAGTCTTCAGTGTGAATTTACGTCCCACCAGTACCTTAAATTGTGTCGATTTACACTTCCGCACAGTGTAAAAGTTGCTTCATTGGAAAAACATATTGTGTTAACGAAATTTTAATAATTTTCAATTTTATCTATCATTACCTCAGTAAACTCTAATCTACGACCAAAGTAATCTTCACTTAATTCTTGCAATAAGTTAATTTTGTATGATTTAAATTTATTTTTACGTAATAAACGTAAGACTGAAGAATGACCTAGATCATGTACTTGTGCAACCCTGCTTGGGGATGTATGTGGATCTTCAACAAAAGTTTGCTTATATCTGAAGTTTTGTTGTCATTGATAAGTCGTTTTGGTGAACTTGATCGGTATCTATCTTTTACTTCTCCAGATTCCTCAAAATCGCCTTACAGTTTTTTGTACCGTCGTCTTATGAATAGGAGAACGGTTTAGAGAACGGCATTTTAGAGAAGCAATTTAAATTGCAGAACTTTTTGAACCACAACTACTGTCAATTTTAGTTCATAATTAAAATGGTAAACAAATGTCAAAATCAGAGCATTCTCCATTTAAATATTTAAATTTATTAAAATCTACATATTTTGCACTGTTTTATGTATTTAAGATCTTTCAGACTACATAAAATCAAGTGAACATATGGTTGAACTCGTATTGAATAGCTGAACTCGTGTGAAATTCACACTGAATGCGTGAAAACCATACTCAAAGACCACAAAAATTAAATGTATGATCAGTTATAGTAGGTACTTATTTAATTGGGCCATTTTTTATCGAAAGAAATTAAACGTCAGATAGTTGGTGTAAATGTTCGACGTTATTTAGATGAGATATTTCCCGGACGATAAATTGGTAGACAAGGTAGAATTTAATGGCCCCCACGTTCACCCGATCTCAATCCTAAAGATTATTTTTATTAGAGATACTTGAGAGAAGACGACACGAGACTTACGAGAGAAGACACTCGTGGCTCCAAAATCTGCGGAAGTGGTTCGGGCTCCATCCATCCAATGGCACTACAGCCCAAGCCGGGCCTTGGCCTCCTTCATTAGACCTCTCCAAACATCTCTATTTACTGCTGTTCTTTTCCATGAACGTGTTTTTAGGAGATTTTTGGCATCCTCATCTACCTCGTCTTCCCATCTCTTTTTTGGTCTTCCAACAGGTCTTTTTCCTTGCATTCTTGCGTTTAGTAATTTTCTGGGGATTCTGTTCTCATGCATGCGGGCCACATGCCCTGCCCATCGTAATCTCTGCAGTCTAGTGTATTGTGCTAGTGTTGGTTCAGTGTATTGTTCGTATATTTCGTTATTATATCTAATTCGCCAGTTGTTATTTTCCTTTATTGGACCCAGTATTCTACGCAATATTTTTCTTTCGAACACGTCTAATGCATTGGTAGATTTCTGTGTTATAACCCATGTTTCACACCCATAACTTACTATGGGTCGGATTATTGTTTTATATACCCGGAGTTTTGTTTTCCGGTGTACGTCTCGCGATTTGAATATGTGGCCCATCGCGAAATAGGCTTTGTTTGCCAGCATAAGCCTTCTATTTATTTCCGGTTCTTCTTCATTATTTTCGACCAGATCCATTCCTAAATACGTGAATTATTCACGTATTCTATATCGTCTATAAATTGTTGTTGTTGCGCCTGTCTATTTGATCTGGTTTGTATGAGTAGTTTTGTTTTATTTGTATTTATTGTTAGCCCTACAACTTCTGAACTCTGTTTCAACTGAACGTAGGTTTCTTCTGCTGCAGTCTTTGTTCTGCTCATTATGTTTATGTCATCTGCGTATGCTACTAATTGGGTAGATTTGTTTGTAAGTATGTTATTTCTGCCCACCGTCAACCGTCTAATTACATATTCAAGAACAAGATTAAAAAGTGTTGGAGCCAGTCCGTCACCTTGTTTCAGTCCTTGCGTTGTCATAAACGCATCAGTGATCTGTCCTTGAATACATACATGTGCTTCTGTTTCTGTCATTGTCATTTGCACTAGTCTTATTAATTTTGATGGTATGCCAAATTCTTGTAATATATTAGGTAGTATTGTTCTATCTATTGAATCATAGGCTTGCTTGAAATCTACAAAGAGATTGTAGACGTCTATGTCATATTCCCATGCTTTGGCTAGTATTTGTTTAACTGTAAATAGTTGGTCAATAGTAGATCTATTTTGCCTGAACCCTGCTTGATATTCCCCGATAATTTTTTCAGTGAGGGGTTGAAGTCTTCGATTAAGAATGTTTGTGAGTATTTTGTATCACGAACAAAGTAAAGAGATGCCTCTATAATTCTGGCATAACAGTTTGTCTCCTTTTTTATGAATAGGGCAGATTATACTTCTCTTCCATTGTTGTGGGATTTTTTCTTCTCTCCATATTTCTTGTATAAGCTGGTACATCTGTTCTGTCAAATTTGTTCCTCCCTGCTTGAACAGTTCTGCCGGCATCTTATCTATTCCCGGCGCTTTATGGCTTTTTTGCATTTGGATTGCTGTTCGAACCTCCTCTAGCGTTGGAGGTCTAGCCAATTCATTATCTTCTCTATCTTCCCACAGCTCCTGTTGTTGACCTTCCTGTTCTACCTGCTGCTGCCGCTGTTGTAGTGGTGTTTGTGCCCTTTCGTTTAATAATTCCTTAAAATACATCATCCAGGTTCTCTTAATTTCGTCCATATTGCTAATTATTTCCCCATTCTTATTTTTGCATAGGCTAGTCTTCGGTTTGTAACCCTGTCTTAAATGTTTGATAAGTTGGTATGCACTGCGTGTTTCGTTTTCCTTGAACGCCCTCTCTATGTTTAGTATCCGGTTGTTTTCGTACCGTCTCTTTTTCTGTCTGCATAGTTTATCAGCTCTTCGTCTTTTATTCTCAAATTCTGTCCTTCTCTCTCTAGTTCGTCTGAGTATGAAATTCTTATGTGCTTCATTTCTTTCGTGAATAGCTTGTTTGCATTCTTCATCGAACCACTGTTCTTCTCTCCGTTGAGTGTTTGTTCCAAGAACTTCTTGTGCCGCGTTTAGTATGATAGTGCTTATGGTGTTCCAATGATTTTCTATTGTGAATTCTTCTATGTTTTCTTCTAGTAATTTTTCACTCACTGTTCTCTCAAATCTTTCTTGTACCTCAGAGACTTTTAGGTTATCTAAGTTTAGTTTTTCTTGTTTCGGATATTTTTCGGTTCGGGCTCACATCGGTCGAACTATTCAGAAGCGCCGCAAACAAGATCAAAATTGCCATGTTAATAGCCAACGTTCGCAACGGACAGGGCACTTGAAGAAGAAGAAGAAGAAGAAGAAGAAGAAGAAGAAGAGATACTTGAAAAATTCAGCTTACAAAACTTAACCAACAAGTCTTGAATAGCTAAGGAAATAAATTATCGATGAATCTCGAATAATTTCTAGACAATCATGGAGAAATGTGGTAGACGCATTATACCATCGATTAGAGTGCTGTCAACTCACAAATGGAGCACATTTTGAACACTTAATAACGTAACTATTATGCTAAAAAATATTCTAAACTATCAATTGTTACGTTTTAATGTATTTGAAAATAGATAGTAGTAAAAAATGTATTGAAACAATTTAGGCGTTGCCAGAC